AAGGGAAGGGAACGGAGGCTGTGGCAACGTGAGCCGATAAAGCGGACGCGGCCGGGACTTAACCCCATTTGATTCGCACCCCCCTCGCGTCCGCCTGCCCCACCCCGCCCTACCCCAAAGAAAAACAAATCTTTTTTCCCCAAACCTGGAAAATCTTTTTTATTGGTTTCGTTCCACTAATTAATTGCACGGGGGAGAGGGAGAAAAAAAAGGGGGGAAAGGAAAGGATAAACGAGAGAGAGCGGAAGGCAGTCTGCGACGCAAGCAACAGGCCTGGTGCCAGCCGGGCGTGAGCGGGGTTACCTTGCCTACCCCTGCCCAGCCACGGGATTTACGGGGGCTGCCACCGACCCCGCGTGGGCCCCGGCTGCCAGCGGCAGCGGCCGTGACCGCCACGGGCTCCCACCGCAGCCGCGGTCCGGATCGGGGACGGCGCCATCGCCGTCGGCATCGGCATCGGCGCATCTCTCCAGACCGGCGACGACGACGGTGAAGGCCATCGCCGGACGCGCCCGGCTCCCGACAACTGGGCGATCCGGCTCCCGCGCCGCTCGCCGGCGAGGGTGCGCCCGATCTCCGCATGCATTAAGCAGCGAGCCAGCCGGAGCAGATCGATCGGAGTCGACGGGAGAGAGAGAGAGAGAGAGAGCGAGGAGTAGCAGGTGGTCGATGGATGGACGGAGTTCTGGTCTGGTTAGGCAGTGGTGGTGAAGCTCGACGAGAGAGAGGAGATGCACACCGCGGGTGAAGAAGTTTCCACCGCCGTGACACGGGAGGCGCAGGATCAGGGTGAATCTGGACGCTCCGTTGGACGACGGACGGCCGCGATGAGACCCCTGGCAGGGGAAGAAAGGAACAAACCCGGGGCCGGGGGTGGCGTAGCAACGTAGGTAGCGCTGCGAGCAAAGCGATGGGATTATTTGGTAACGGAGGCGATCCGGGGGTTGGTTCTGACGACGGATCGGGCTTTGCGGCGAGATTAGGAGATTTTTTTTTGGGGGGTAGGTGGCCGCTCGCTCGCTCGCTCATGGACGTGTCTTTCGTGGGTCCCGCCGCCTTGATGTCTTTGTTTACTCGCTCTCTCTGGCCCACAACGTTCTACTGCTCGTTCCAAATGATATTCGCGTTTTCCTGGAAATTATTCTCGTGGGGTTGTTTGGGAGCACGTAGTGTTCCACATGAACAAGTTCAATTCTCCTGACAAGGATTTCGAGAAATCTACATGTTCATTCATACGGAGTCTAGCAAATCGTTTTCATGAAAATAGTGGCATCGGTGAGGGCGGGTAGACAAATGCGAAGAGATGTGGAATCTACTCGGTGTTTCACTGTTGAACATCTGCATATTTTTTTGGCGTGGTAGGAAATATAGTAATACTGTCACGGCACATTTTTTTTTGTGATAGATATTTGTGATTCTTGCAATACAAAGCAAGAAATACGAGTCGAGCCGAGTTGCCGGGGTGCTGACTCGAGTAATTGTGGTGGATGGTAGGGCGGCAAAAGCCGACAGCGCGTCGTTGCCTCGTGCCCGCCGACAATGCTGGTGGCTAGGGGAGATGCGGCTAGATGGGTGCTGGACAGGAGAGCTCAGCATGGAGTTAGGGTTCCATATGAGCATGGCCTTATCCTCTTGGCCTAAACACCGGACGGTATGCCCCTCTTACAAAAGAAAGTTGCTCGACGCAAAAACCTAGACTGGTCAGGTTAGTCATTGGCTAATTGAGTAGTTGATCGGCTATCTCTACGAGTCGAGTCGAGACACCTAGTCGTCAATCATGTTACGATTGGATGGTTGTAACATAACTAGTCTCGACTAGCTGCTGGACACATAATCCATGCTACAAGGTCACAATAATTATTTTAGTGTGATGAAAACTTGGAACGTGCATAATATGGAAGTAGTATGATTGCCTATACTCTTTCAACTATTTGAGTTATCAAAAGATATGGTTTTATACGTCTTCTTGTGCCAAAAATTAGTGTGAAGGTTGACCGTGCATGTATGTTTTCTAGGCTTCTCTTGATCACTTGGAGACTTCAATTATGACTCACCCATTTGTCACTCAGCATGTGTAAGCCGTTTCTACCCTGTCTTTCATGAAAACACGGTTCCTGGTTGAATTATTTGTGCAAGTCTATGTTGGACATCTTTTTTGCAACATAAGCAATTTATTTATGTGGCATATGAAGATTACAGCTTACAACATACTTTCCCACTTCAAAACCAAAGGCCTATATATTTAGTCTGAAGATAGAATTTATAACGTATGATCAAGTTTGTGGAAAATATGTCAACATTTGCAATATCAAATCAGTATCGGTAAATATGTCCATCGTGAAATGTTTTTTATATTGTATTTTTTTTGTTATTAGTGAGGTTGGCTTCTCTCGATAATTGGTTAAATTCTATGCATACCTTTGTCTTGCGTTAATTCACCTGAACTTGATGGCGACATCAATCTTTGCTCCAAGTTGGAAGCCTTCTCCCGATCACGAACAATTGATGAACACTTTCAGTTTTGTCCATTCATCTAACGATGTGGAAAGCCTTTTCATTTAAGCACATCTCCACTTTGTCATTATCACAAAATGTACGCGTGCTTCAAGCCTATAATTTATCAAGGTGAATATCTTGAATTTCCTCTTTGCAACCTCGATGACATTTTTCCAGATGATGTAATTCCTACATGGGTGATTGAAAATCATCATTTCTACGCAAGTCCATGGGTGGTACCTGACCTTCAACCACATTTGTACATATGATGGGTTAGTTCGGAGATCATAACTATAATTTGTTCACACCTGTAGATTGCTTGGTCTCATGTGACACATTAGTGCTTACTAATTTTGAATGATCAACCATTGTCCCTTTAAGCCCTACATGGATCTCCTAAGAGACAATTAATTTTTCTTCTTGAAACACCTAATAGAGCCTCCATCGTCAATATATAAACTCATAAACTCAAACTTCACATTCCTTGAATATATATATTTAATCATTCTCTTGTTTTCTACCTGGAGTATTGCTTAAGTTCTTGTTTTTCTACACCTCTGCTCATGATCTCTCCAATCATGACCATCTTTTAGTCATACCTTGTATTTTGTTCTGGTTATTTTTAATATTCCCTATAATTTCACCTTCGTCCTATTTCATTCATCTAGTTAACTCAATCTTGGTATTTTGCATTTCACTCCATGTGTTTATTCTTGATCATAATAAACTTATCTCTTCACTTTAGCGACATTGATACATATATAGACCTAACAATGTTCATCTCTTAAATCCATATGATATTCTTCATGGATTACCTATATAAACATAACTTCATATATGATTCAACAAAATACTAGTCAACAAAAAATGCTATTCATTATGTAAACCACTAGTAATGCCGAGATGCGCTAATAATAAATCCCCTAATTAGGTTTCAATGGTTGACAAAATACAAGCATATCTCCCCAAGAGAATGCCAATAGAACATTCAAAGCTCACCTTGGTCGTTGTGCTCCATGTATTCCTTCACTCATGGGAGCTTCCACTCCGGGAGGCTTGTAGACCACAAGGTCTAAAGCCTAACCCACTCCCGCTCCATCGACCTCTTGACATAGCAACCATGTTGGGGAGCCTCGACTAAGCGGTGGGTAGGGCGTTTGTCACTAGATTTTGAGTGTGTTTTGGAAGATCAATTAGGTTGATATGCCACTTGCCTGAACTCCCATGTGTGACACGTGTCAGACCGTCCAAGAAAGTTTTTTGGATGGGTGAATCATTAATGGAGAGGAAGCAATCTGTCATTAAAGATGGCAGAGGGAGCGCTCTTTCATGTGATGTTGTAGAGCTTGGAGATGTGGAATGTAGGTGATAAGAAACGAACAAACAATTAGAATCGGTGCAACAAGACACATCTATATAGTTTACACCATCGTATAATTTGGATGTGAGATGGTAAGTACATCAATGTTTGGAAGAGATGTATAGTAAATCAAGTTATCGCACACCCGACGAAAGTTGCTTTCGAAAATGAGGTGAATAAGTCATTTCTCAAAAATAACAAGTGTGACCAAACACTAACACCATATTAGAACTAACAAAGAAATGAAAAGGTGATCAATATGTAGAAACTGTGGTAAAAGGACATGCAACACGCGAGTTTTTTTACCACAACAAGAAAAGGTAAAAATAACTGAATTGCTAGCTTCTAGAGTACTTCACATGTGTCCAAGAACAACCTGTCACTCATGCA